TTTCACGAGATTTCACGAGATTTCACGAGATCTCGCGAGATTTCAAGAGATTTCACGAGATTTCAGGAGATCTCGCGAGATCTCGCGAGATGTCACGAGATTTCACGAGATTTAACGAGATCTCGCGAGATTTCACGAGATTTCACGAGATTTTACGAGATTTCACGAGATTTTACGAGATTTCACGAGATATCGTGAGATTTCACGAGATTTCACGAGACTTCACGAGATTTCACGAGATATCAGGAGATTTCACGAGATCTCGCGAGATTTCACGAGATTTTATGGGATCTCGCGTGATTTCACGAGATTTAACGGGATTTCACGAGATTTAACGAGATCTCGCAAGATTTCACGAGATCTCGTCAGATTTCACGAGATCTCGCGCGTTTTAACGAGATCTCGCGAGATATCACGAGATTTCACGAGATTTCGCGAGATCTCGCGAGATTTTACGAGATATCGCGAGATTTCGCGAGATAAACGAGATTTCACGAGATCTCGCGAGATTTCACGAGTTCCTTGAATAAATAATATAAGATTTTGACTACGTCCATCACTAACCCTTTTTTTAACCTAAAGAATAGTTGAAAATGGTGCAGGAACAGGATGAACAATTTACCCACTCCATCAACAGGAATTGCTCACGCAGGAGCATCCGTTGATCTAGCTATCTTCTCATTACATTTAGCAGGAATTTCCTCAATTTTAGGAGCTGTAAATTTTATTAGTACTATAATTAACATACGACCACCAGGAATATCATTAGATCAAACACCATTATTTGTTTGAGCAGTCGGAATTACAGCCCTTTTATTACTATTATCATTACCAGTTTTAGCTGGTGCTATTACCATATTATTAACAGATCGAAATTTAATACATCATTTTTTGATCCCGCAGGAGGAGGAGATCCAATCTTATATCAACATTTATTTTGATTTTTCGGACACCCTGAGGTTTATATTCTTATTTTACCAGGATTCGGTATAATTTCTCATATTATTAGCCAAGAAAGAGGAAAAAAGGAAGCCTTTGGTACACTAGGTATAATTTACGCAATATTAGCCATTGGTTTATTAGGATTTGTTGTATGAGCACATCATATTTATATCTACTGTTGGAATAGATGTTGATACCCGAGCATATTTCACTTCATGGATCTCAATTATCCTTTAATCCTTCACTATTATGATCACTAGGCTTCGCCTAAATTTGGCTTTATGTGGTATACCTTTTTTATCTGGTTTATATTCAAAGGATTTAATTTTAGAGTTAAGATTAATAAGAAATTTTAATTTATTAATTTTTTTGTTATTTTTTCTTTCTACTGGATAAACTGTTTGTTATACTTTTCGATTGCTTTATTATGTAATGGTGGGTGAATTTAATTTTAAAAGATTGCATTGTTTGGGTGATGAAAGTTATGGATTTATTGGTCCTATATTTATATTAGTATTAATATCTGTAGTTGGTGGTTCATTATTATCTTGTTTAATATTTAATACTCCTAATTTAATTTGTTTACCATTTTATGTGTGGATTTTGGCGTTGGTTGTTAGTTTTATTGATGATTGAATTGGTTTTGAATTATCAATATTGACAAATTATTGCAGATTTAGTTTTAAAAATTATTATTTTGTTGGATTTTTAGGGTCAATGTGATTTATACATTATATATCAACTTATATATTTAGATCATATCCTTTATATTCGGGTTTAAATATTGCTCGTGTAGTTGATCATGGTTGAAGAGAGGAATTTGGAGGTCAAGGGTTTTTTATATTTTTATATAAGATAAGAGTATTAAATCAATGGTATCAGTTTAATTATTTTAAGTATTATTTGTTGAGGTTTATGGTTTTAATATTTATTTTTATTATTATTTTAATTTGTAGAGATAATTATATTTTTTAACTTAAATAGCTTATATGTAGGGTATAACATTGAGGATGTTATGGAGATAATTAATCTTTAGGTGGTTTATAATTAATTGAAACCAAAAAGAAGTATATTATTGTTAATAATATCATTGAATTATATATATTGCAATTAAGGAAATAAGTTGTACAAAAGTGAGCTGCTAGCTTTTCTTTTTAGCGGTTAAATTCCGTTGTTATTTCTAGTTTATATAGTTTATAATAAAACGGTTAATTTTTATTATACAGAAAATGTTTAAATATTTATAAATAATTAAGGATTAAATAATCTTTCTTTCAGATCGAAACTGAATGCATAATTGTTTCCTAATTGAGATTAATTGAATAATCAATACTTTTTGAATGCAACCCAAATGTTATATTTAACTATAATCCCTATTCCGCTCATTGTAAAGCACCTTGGTTTCATTCATGATATAATCCTATTAGTAGAATAGTAATGAAGAATATTAATGTAAATAATCATTGTAATGGATTTGATGAAAGTTGAATAATTACTGTAGGTGTAATCAAGGCGATTTCTACGTCAAAGATTAAGACAACAATTGCGATTAAGAAGAATCGTAGTGAAAATGGTAAGCGTGCTGATCTTTTTGGATCAAATCCACATTCAAATGGTGAGATTTTTTCTCGATCTAATATGTTTTTTTTTGATAAAATTATTGATAATGACATTAAAATGATTGTGAGAATTAAGGTAAATATAATAATGATTGAGGTAATTAAAATTACTTATTTTGATAGTCAATCATTTTAATTGGAAGTTAAATATACTAAATATGCTAAATAAGTTAACTACCTCATCAATAGATTGAAATATATAGGAATAATCATACAATATCTACAAAGTGTCAATATCATGCTGCTGCTTCAAATCCAAAGTGGTGATTAGATGAAAAATGAAATATATGTCGTATTAAGCATACTGAAAGAAATGTTGTTCCAATAATAACATGGAGTCCATGGAATCCTGTTGCTATAAAGAATGATGATCCATAAACAGAATCTGCAATGGTAAATGGTGCTTCAATATATTCATATGCTTGAAGAATGGTGAAATAAATTCCTAAAATAATTGTTAATAGTAATCCTTGTGTAGTTTGTCTAAAGTTATTTTCCATTAGGCTGTGATGAGCTCATGAAAATGTAACTCCTGATGCTAGTACAATAGCTGTATTTAGAAGGGGGATTTGTATAGAATAAAATGGTGTAATTCCTATAGGTGGTCAAATTATACCTAAGTTGACGCTGGGAGCTAAACTTCTATGAAAAAATGCTCAGAAGAATGAAATAAAGAAAAATACTTCTGATACAATAAATAGAATTATTCCTCAACGTAATCCTAGGTTAACAACAGATTAATGTATACCTTGATATGTTTCTTCTCGTGTAATATCTCGTCATCATTGAATTATGGTTAATAAGGTGATTAGAGTCCGCTAAGACGAGGAAAAACCGCTAAGTCGAGGGGAAAACCGCTAAGTCGAGGGGAAAACCGCTAAGTCGAGGGGAAAACCGCTAAGTCGAGGGAGAAACCGCTAAGTCGAGGGAGAAACCGCTAAGTCGAGGGAGAAACCGCTAAGTGGAGGGAGAAACCGCTAAGTCGAGGGAGAAACCGCTAAGTCGAGGGAGAAACCGCTAAGTCGAGGGAGAAACTGCTAAGTCGAGCGAAAAATCCGCTACGTCGAGCGAAAAACCGCTAACCCTAGCGGAAAACCGCTAACGGTAGCGAAAGATACGGTTACTTTAGCGAAAATCCGCTAATGTGCTTTTGCAAGTTTAGGGAGAGCGAATGTGCTCTTCTCTGTAATGTTCTAAGTTGCGGTAGGAGCGGTAGGTTCGAACCGCAAAAGGGGTCGGAAGATTAAGAATGGTATAGTTATTGTGGTTTTGGTCAACACACCCTGTATTATTAATTTTTTGAACTAGCATATGCAGTAAACTGGACGAAGTGGCCAAGGGCGTATGCACTGACTTCGCATTCGGGAGGCCGAGATTTAATTCCCGTGCCCATCATCCTGCCCGGGTTTTTCGTGGCTTCTCTACTTCATCCAGGCGAATGCTGGGATGGTTCTTGAAGTTCACAGCCGCAAAACCGGCGTCGCTAGCCGAATTCGTTAACTACGTGAAGTCACGAGGGGTTAAGCGAATTCGAGACATCACGAGTTGCTGGCTGGGTGACCAACTAGAAAACCCGAGATCCAACGGTGCTGAGGCCCATTGCCCTTTACGGGAGTATTATGCAAAAACAAATATACAGTTATCGTGCAATCAGTTACGTTAAAAGTCGCTACTCGACTGCAGAACAGTCGCACATCATTGGGGAGGATCAACGATGGACTCCAGCGCACTTTCATTTTTTATTTTTTGTTTAGGAGAGGAGGTAATGTTTCTCAAAAGCGGTCACAACTTCTACTACAGTACACCCTCATTAACACGAATTCCAAGGGACCGAAATAACAGGAGTTTGTGATATAAAACTACTTCGTGTTATCTGATTATTAGAAATGACCATATTACCATAATCCCTTGCCGACGTTCTGCTCGTGTTCTGCTCGTGTAAAATGTTCATAATTTACGAGTATGTCTTTGTCATGCTTCAAGAGCTGAAAAAAATGTTAACACAAAGCGGTTGTAATAATTTGCTAAATACATTTAGCAATACTTCTTAAATATGTGCAATTTTCCTTCAATTATATTTCAATTTATTCCAGAGTTCGGTGTTGCTCCCTCCCATTGATGTTGTCCGAGAGCCAAATGGCATTGGTAGGTGAATGTCAAGGATTATATCGGGCATCCACTTGGAATTGATGTACTTGGGAGAGGATCAAGATAAGACACATAATTAATTGGATTGTTGGTGAATTATTTATCAAAATAAGACACATAAGCCAAAATAAGTCTCTCATTATTTATAAATGTTCATATTTCTCTTTTTTATTGTTACGTAAGGTCGCATCAACTTATAGGCCATAAGTGGCAACTTATAGGCCACCATTGCTATGGTAACGGTATGGTAACTGTGAGGATGGCACGATATGATGATAGGGGGTGAAAGGACGAACACGATACAACCATGCCCGAGGCGGGACTGGAACCCGAGATCCTTCGGTCCGAGATCACTACGGCACTACTGCCGTAGCGACCTCAGCCACCGGATCGGCGTTCATATCTCTGTTTTGGTTGAAAAGTGGCTTATCCTAGAACTACCTCAAGCCTTTCCTACATGAATAAGAGTTATGTAGTATCAAGATAAGCGTCACTTTCACCAAATCCGAGATATGAACAGTTTTTAAAATTGTGAGACGCTCGCTGTGTCTCAGGTGGCTTATCTTATTTCTTCCCCAAACCCATTTCACAGGCGGAAACGCCGGAGACGGCCAGCTTCAGCACGCGACCTCAAAAATGTTCATCCACACGTGGGCGACAAAGGACCTCCGCCTACGAAAATGTGTGACCTCGGGCGCGTTTCCGGCACCACCAGATTTTGCTCGTGAGATATGTTTCGTTCCTTCTGCAGATGCTTTCGTACAATTAGAAGATTGTAACGGAACGAATTTCGAAAGGAATTTCGCAGAGTTGCGGGTAGATATTTGTTTGGGGTTACACATTACTTTCACCGTACTTTGTGAAATCACTTCCACTTCGAGTAGCTTCATCATAGGAAATACCACGAGTGGTTTGGTAATTGTCGATATATCCCCGACCCCGAGGGGATCTCTGAGAAATTCCACAGCACGAGAGGTATTTAATATAACTATTCCACTCGTGAAATTAAAACCAATAGTGTTTAAATATACGTACAAAATGCACCAAACAGGGCGGTGTATCTCAAAAGGTTAATCGCCTTTTCTATCCGATTTTTCTTACCGCTTCTACCTACTGCTCAATCATAAACTGCGACTCATTTACCTTAAGAGGTAATATACATAGATCACTGCGTCGATGTCTAATAAACAGCATATGTACTACAACATAACCTCTGATTTTAACATACATTTTCAGTTATTTTCAATATTTGGCACATTTTGTAACTGTTGGGCATAATTTCACTCATGGAATAGTCATATTAAATACCACTCGTGCTTTGAAAATTTTCAGACAAATACTTCGGGAATTTATCTTCGAATTTCCAAAGCACTCGTGGTGTTACCTACGACTATTTCACGAGTGAAAGTCTGTCCAACAGAGTTCAAAAATGCACCAAACATTAAAAACGTTTAAATCAACGAGGTTACGTTGTAATACATAGTTTATTGGACACAGACCTAACGATCGATGTATACCGCCTCCTAACATACCTGAGTCACAGTTTATGATTGGCCAGAAGGGAGAACTGGTAAGAAACTACGGATTGGAAAAGCGATAAACTTTTTGAGATACACCGCCCTAATTGGGGCATTTGGAATGTATATTTAAACACTATTGGTGTTAATTTCACGAGTGGAATAGTCTAAGTAGTCAACCTTTATATGAAAATATTTTATGGGAACATTAGAGTAGTATAATTTGTAATGAACTTATTTTTATATCTACTTTTTTTAACGCTCTTGCATTTAAAATCGCAAATATTCCCGCGTACTTCGAAAAATCTCGATATAAAAGAATGCTCTTTCATGGTTTGAAAGCGTCTTTGTTTCCTGAAAACTCTGCGGATCATCGGGGAATTGACTCACCCACACGAATTTTTTGGTTTCCTCTAAGAGAAAGTTAGTTGATGCTATTTGAAGTGAACCTGAGATTTCAGTTGATGATACTCCTCTCAGAAACTTATTTTATAGCGTTATGTAGTTTGAATAGCTTGTGGACAGTTGTTTTTCACAATGTATCTATTTATAGTCTCAAGTAAACCATGTCACAATACTTGGCATCATCATGATTAAAGTGCTTAATAACAATTATTTCCTTAAAAGATGTATTTTATAATTCAATAGATATTCTAACCTATTGTCGAAATTGGATCTCCAAAAAACATGACAACAAAGAAGTACAGTTACTGAACGTTACAGATTCCTATGAGGAACAGTTAATTATATCAATTTCAATTTCATTTTAGTCTTCACCTCTAAATGATCGCAAATTAGTAATATTGTTTTTTTTTATAATTTTAAAACTTGTGAAGACCTTTGACAACATTTCTTGAAGTTTGTTATTAATGTACGTTCCAATTCAATCTGATTAAAAGATGTGAATCAATATATTATGGTACTTTATTAAATAAGAAACATTAAGATAAATAGTATACACCACAATTACAGAGAATGTTTTACGCCAACAGCGAAGTCCTGATTTAACGTTTCATGAGTATCATGACTAACTCGCATAGCTTTCTAATAAGATCGAAAAATAATTTATAATCTATTAACATAATCGTTTTAAACTATGGATGGACTACGAATAAATTGGGGAAATTGTAAACACCTGTATTTTCAGCAAGTCTCGTCTGGCGTTCACACGTAGAGCGACACTCGCGCGCCCTTGGGACACAGCGGCGAACTAATTGCTGTTGACATCCAGCAGTTCCTTTTCACCGACATGCATGCTAGATGCTATCGCATGAATCTGATGGAATGATGGTCTCCCCGAGTCGATTAAAAGCCCACAATCTTCTCTGGCACACGTTTCGTTGCTCTTCTAAATCCTAATCCCTTTTACGGCGTTCAATTGGTTTAAAA